GAGAGAGAGAGAGAGAGACTTCTGAGAGGAGTGTGTGTGTATGTGAGAGAGAGAGAGAGACTTCTCCTGAGGAGTGTGTGTGTGTGTGTGTTGGTTTCAGCCCCCACCCCCCAGCCTTACCGACCTCACCCTCATCTTCCTGTGCTGCCCTTGTCCACCACATCCTAGCAGTTGTGGTCTCTTTTGCCCAAAGTCCCCACTAGTCCTCAATTGATGACTTCAGTTGAGCCTAACATTTCTGTTGCTTCTGTTGCTTGGTTAAGTGAATGCAACCCCTGTAGAAGGTTAGCAGCACCCATCCCTCTCCAAGAAGAATGAAAGGTAGACCTAGAACAACAGAATTGGAAGGGACCTTGGAGGTCATCTAGTCCCCCCCCCACCCCCGCTCGAGCCGGAGAATCTATCCTCTACCTAGGATCGAAGTTATGGCCCTCCTGATTGTGAGGCGAGAGCTCCACCTCTAGGCCATTAGATCATTTTGAGAAATATTTAAAAAGGCAGAATATTATATTTCCCTGGATGAGAAATGCAGAAACATGCTCTTGGAAACCAGTCCCCCACCTTCCTTTAATTGCCCACAGTAGATGTCAGCACTTAAGAGATAAAGAGATAGATAGCTCTATTCATAAGCAAATTCCTTGCAGCAAGGTCTGAACAAAGGGTAGGATTAGTCCTCAGCTACAATAGGAATTGCCCAACAAGCCCCTTGCATGCATCACTAGACCAAGCTTCAACCAAACTTGTCTCAGACAACCTACAGAGCCAGCTATGACCCCTACAACAGTCAATAGAATACATATCCTTGCACAGGAACAAGAGGCTCAAGTTCAAAACCCAAGAGAAGGTATAAATACCCCTCACTCTCAACTCCATGTGGTCAGTTGACCAGAATCATGTGCTTGGTGGTTCTGCTTCATCATTATACCCTCTTTCCAATCAGCCTCCAGCCCAAGGGTGGGATTCTACCTGATCGGTCCAGTTCTATAGAACCGGTTGTTATGATTATGCGTAGCTCGGAGAACCGGCAAATTGCTCCACTGGCTGGCCCTGCCCCTCCACTCCCCGCCCTGTCTACTCACTCCTTACCTGGCATGCCTGCCTGCCTTTGGTAAGTTGCTAATTTTCCTTTTTTTCCACCCAACCATCAGCTGTTCTGCTGTGCCGGGAGATTTAGATTAGCTAGAAAGCAGGCAATAGTTGGATTTCTTGCTTTCTAACTAATCTGAAAGCACAGCTGAACCTTCCTTTGGACTGAAGTTTCTATTTTTCAGTGCAGACTCAGGCAATAGATTGCAGAAAGGTAGATCTCTGAATGAACCTGTGATTCTGTGAGCAACTCAATCTGCCTTCTACGCACCAATTCCACCCACACTTTCTACAATTTTATAAACAACAAACTAAAAGACTCAAAATCCATCCCACCCCGGAAAGGACCTAATGGTAAAGACTGCAACGACAATACTATTCAGGCCAACCTCTTTAACACATTCTTTGGCTCAGTATTTGTAAACAGCAATGGATCATGCCCAGTATTTCCTAGTTGAATCACAGACAACTACAATGATCTAATACATATCGATTTTACAGAAGACATTGTTGAAAAAGCACTACGCAATCTAAAACCTTCCCTATCTATTGGACCGGATGGAATATGTGCCTACTTCTTAAAAAAGCTAGCCACTGCCATAGCTGAACCTCTAAGCATAATCTTTGAAAAATCTTTCAGGACCAGCTCCTTGCCAAAACTATGGTCACATGCCACAGTCATCCCCATCTTCAAAAAGGGAGACCCCAGCCTAGTTGAAAATTACAGACCAATCTCTTTATGCTGCATCAGCTGTAAAGTCATGGAATCAATTATTAACCAATCCATCATCCTCCACTTAGAAACAAACAATCTACTCTCTAATAACCAATTTGGTTTTAGGAAAACACTATCATGTAATCTGCAACTCTTACACTGCAAAAACATATGGACTACACAACTCGATCAGGGCAAAACAATAGACGCAATCTACATAGACTTCTGTAAAGCCTTTGATTCAGTGGTACACGACAAACTACTCCTAAAACTAAAATCTTACGGTATGTCTGGACACCTGCATAACTGGATAGAAACATTCCTGTCAAACAGACAACAAATGGTCAAAATTGGGAGCGTCCTATCAAATTCTGTACCTGTCAACAGTGGTGTCCCCCAAGGCAGTGTTCTAAGACCAACTCTCTTCATACTCAACATAAATGACCTCTGTGATCATATCAAGAGCAACTGCATTCTCTTCGCTGATGCTGTAAACACAACAGACAATTCAAAAAGACCTTGACTATGTATCAGAATGGTCAAACAAATGGCAACTTCAAATCTCAACAAATAAATGCTCAGTCCTACATGTTGGCAAAAAAATATATATCAGAAAATAAAATACAGGCTGAATAGTCAAGACCTTGTTGATGACCCAAACTCTGTCAAGGATCTTGGAGTAGTCATTTCAAATGACCTAAGTGCTAGAGCTCACTGTAACTACATAGCCAAAAAGGCATTAAGAGTTGTTAACCTAATCTTATGTAGCTTTTTCTCTGGTAATATTACACTAATAACTAGAGCATACAAAACATTTGCTAGACCAATACTTGAATATAGCTCATCAGTCTGGAACCCACATTACGTATCTGATATTAACACAATTGAGAAAGTCCAGAAATATTTCACAAGAAGAGTTCTCCACTCCTCTACATGTTGCAGAATACCTTATGCCACCAGACTCGAAATTCTAGACCTAGAAAACCTAGAACAACGCCGCCTTCAGTCCGATCTAAGTATAGTATATAAAATCATACATTGCAATGTCCTACCTGTCAATGAATACTTCAGCTTCAACCATAACAACACTAGAGCAAACAATAGATACAAACTCAAGGTTAATTGCACCAAACTTGATTGCAGGAAATATGACTTCAGCAACAGAGTGGTCAATGTCTGGAATACTCTACCTCAGGGGTCCCCAACCACCGGGCCCTGGACCGGTACTGGTCCGTGGAACATTTTCTACCGGGCCGCCGGTTTGCTGGACGCCGCCATCTTGTTTTGATGAGAAAGTGCTTCCGGGTGAGCTTTTCCGGTACCGGAAAGCGGTGTTTGGGTCCTGAAGGAATCCTCGCGCCTTAGTTTCATCGAAGGGGGGGGGGGCGGCTTCGAACGAAGAGCCGATGGTGGAGGAGATTAAGAAAGCACAAAAAAGCACAAAAAAGGTACAAAGGAGGAGTTGAAGGTGGCGGGGAGAAGCGGGGGACAGCTGGCTGGCCGGTCGCTCGGCTCGCCTTGCCTTGGTCGTGCGTTCTGATGCCGGTACCGGGCCGTGGATCATTTTGTGATGCCGGTACCGGGCCGTGGCACAAAAAAGGTTGGGGGCCACTGCTCTACCTGACTCTGGTTTTTTCCCCAAACCCCAAAAACTTTAACTTTAGACTGTCTACTATTGACCTCACCCCTTTCCTAAGAAGTCTGTAGGGGGAGTGCATAAGCGCACCAACGTGCCTACCGTCCCTGTCCTATTGTTTCTTTTATATATAATTTTTATTTTTGTTATATGTATCCATGTATTCATAACTATGTTTTTACTTATACCTATTATCTTGTAAGCAATTTACAAATAATTAATAAATAAATAAACAAACAAATAAATAAATCTTTGCCTGATTTGGGGTAAAAATTGCTCTTTTTTTTACAAAAAATTCAATATTTACATACATATTTACAATATTTACATACAAGACAGGCCCACCCAGTCACATGACCACCAAGCCATGCCCAGTCAGCAAGCCACGCCCACCCAGTCACATGACCAGCAAGTCACACCCACAAATTAGGTCATGTTCACAGAACCGGTTGTTAAGACATTTGAATCCCACCCTGCATCCAGACCCCATTTTGTCTCCAGTGCCTTTCTCCTGGCTTGGAACTAAACCAGATGGATATTTCTTCCAATATCCCATTTCACAACCTTTCTTGCCACAGTCGTTAAATGAATCACTGCAGCTGTTAACTTAGTGACATGGTTTTTGAAAGTGAACCTGGCTTCCCCACTGACTTTGCTGGTCAAAAAGTTGCAAAAGGGGATCTTATGACTCTGGGACATTGCAACTGTTATAAATACGAGTCAGTTGCCAAGTATTTGAATCTTGATCACGTGACCAGGGAGAGGCTGCAACAGTTGTATGAATAAAGGTCCCTTTTTTCAATAGCATTGTAACTTTGGTCACTAAATTAACTGTTGTAAGTCGAGGACTACCTATACCCCCAAGCACTTGAGTTTGCACAACTTGGAGTTTCACTAAGCGTCACACCGGCTGGGTTGGTGCAAGGACTGATGGGTGAGTTTCAGTGATGGGATTCAAAAAATGTTACTACCGGTTCTGTGGGCATGGCTTGGTGGGCGTGACAGGGAAAGAATACTGCAAAATCCCCCTTCCCTCCCCACCCCACTAGCCTGCTTTCCAGCTCCCTTCTCCTGTGCAGGGCAACAAAAGAAGACCCAGC